GGTCCTCAGCACAAGAAAGACATGGATCTGTTGGAGCAGGTCCAGAGGAGACCACACAAATGGTCAGATGGGTGGAACACCTCTGCTATGAAGAAAGGCTGAGAGAGTTGGGGTTGTTCAGCCTGGGGAAGAGAAGGCTCCAGGGAGACCCTATTGCAGACTTTCAATACTTGAAGGGGGCCTATGACAAAGATGGGGACAAACTTTTTAGCAGGACCTGTAGTGACAGGACAAGGGGTAATGGTTTAAAATTAAAAGAGGGGAGATTTAGACTGGATATAAGGAAGAAAGCTAAAGAAGCTGAAGATAACTCTCAGTTAAGTTGAAGATGGTTATTCTTAGATTATATTCCTAATTTTATATGTATATATAAATAAACTTTTGTATCCACTTTGAAGAAAGAAAAAAGTGGGGGCTCAAAATGTGGTTTTAACTTAAATTCCCGCATGTAAGTGAAATGCATGGCACCATTATCAGCAAAACATGTCTTGAGTCATAGAAGCTGATTGACAGGTAAGTAGTTTACCTGATGATCATCATGCAGGTATCTTACCTGCTCTGTTATTGCACTTACCATTTAACCAAAATGCTAAATATGCTAATGTTAAATTAGCGGTTTGGTTACTGCCAAGCTGCTCTCTGCAGAAACAGTAAATGTTTGCTTGGGGTTGGCCATTGAGTTACTGTCCAGTCTTGACACAGTATCTCCCACACCATGATTCTGTGGCCTCCTGCTGCATTTATGATGACTTTTTCTTCCAGTGATGTGTAGGACAAGGGGTTGTGGTAGTTTCACTGGGCTAGCCCTGGGCTAGCAGCCAACACAGCCATTCACCCACTGCCCCCCACCCCCAGGGGACAGGGGAGAGGACCGGGGGGCAAGGGTGAGGAGACTTGCAGGTTGAGATAAGAACAGTTTAGTAATAGAAATAAAATAAAACTTAACATAATACTGATATTAAAATAGTAATGATAACAATAATAGTACTAAAATATGCAAATGAGTGATACTCAGTGCAGCTGGGTATCATGCATTTGCTCACCACCCGCTGACTGAGCCCGGCCTGTTCCCAGATAACGATCCCAGAGGAGCGACAATCCCGAACCAAAACCACAATCCTGGAAGAGCGAGAGCCCGAGAGAAAGCCAGAGCAAAAGAGAGAGAGCCCCTCATTAATATACTGGACATGACATGATATGATAAGGAATATCCCATTGGCATATCCAAATGCCAGTTTAATTTATTAATTTAAATATTCCTCGCCCCCTTAGATCTTGCACTTGTAGACTAACAGAACACAAAGTCCTTCACTTCCAGCAACAAAAATACAAACACTGGTTTGTTATCAGTGTCTTTCTCATAACAAATCCCAGGCTGAAAGCAAAACACAGCACTATTCTAGCTGCTAAAAAGAAACCCAGC